TGATCCAAGTCAGTCAAACAAGATGGTATTGCTTCTTTGAATCAAGCTCTAGAGCAATACAATTAATTTGGTGTTAGTAGAATTTTAATGATAACTCTGTAGTAGATAAAACCTACTTGTAACTCAGTCATTGATAGCTAGCTAGCTAGTAGCTATAGATCAACAGCAGCAGCAGCACCAGCACCAGCACCAGCAGCACCAGCACCAGCACCAGCACCAGCAGCACCAGCATGTAGTATTGGTACATGAGTCCCCAGTCAACATGCCATGGAGATTCTTAATATCAAGGCTTTTAAATTTTTACTTTTAAAATTTTTACCGAAAAGTAAAATTTCATTTTTGTACAGGCTGGTTTCTCTGCGTCTCCCACAAAAAACACACTTGGTACATTTGCTTTAAGGCTTTGAGTCTCTCACTGGTTAAATAATTGGCTACTCATTAAATACTTAAGAACACTAGGTTCTTCTAAGGACTTAACAACTTCAACTGACGTAGAAGGTGCCATTCTTCTTTAGGAGCACTGCACCAAGGAAATGGCACCAAATTCACGCGACTCGAGCTGGAGGAGCACTGCAGATAGGCCGACTGAAGTGGCTACGGGTAGCGACATACATGTAATATACTTTCCATGATCTAGCTAGGGATGTACCACCTTGACCTGTTGAGAGTAGCAGCTCTATTCAGTGCTTTTGTGTCCACTTCTGCTTTCCTACCTGTAGCACCAAGTAGTCAATCTTTGCAGTCTCGCTCTTATCGGTCTCTCCGTTTGGATTCCGCCTTGACAATGCAATTCAAACCTCAAGAAGAAGATTTGACGTTGGTTGTTACCGGCCATGGTGTGGCCGACTACGATGCCTGGCTAAAGGTATTCACTGGTGCTTGCGAGGCTCCCAAAGAGGAAAACTTTCATCGCAATGTCTTGCAAGTCAAGTACCATTTGGCCGCGCAGCAAACCAACCCCAAACAAGGCACCAGCAATCCTTGCTGCCTGGTAGTGGCTGTCTCGCCTTCGACGACGGACGCAATCATGGAGGGGGTGCTCAAGTACGAGGGCGAACCCTTTGATACATTCAAAAAAGACGGAACCATGATCCCTCCCTTTGAACCCAACATGATGGGCCGTTTGGTTGCCGATCGCTGGGATGTCCCGGAAGAAGAGGTGGGGGAGGATTTGAAAAAGAATCCCGGAAACTACATGGTATATGTGGCATCCCATGGTGTCCCCTCGTTTGACAAATGGTACACGGAAGCCTTTGGCGGTGGAGCTCCCA